TACAATATATAACAATATATAGAAAATACGACATGTAAAAATATGTATACTACAATATATAACAGCAGTTTAATATTACTAATGCTGAGATATCTGAATAAGTATGCTAATTAAAAAATAGTGGAATCTATAGTATAATTAAAGTATTAATAAATAAACCAGAGTATTACACGTTTCAGGGCCAGTCTGATGACTGCAATGCGCTCAATGTAAGAAAACAAACCTGTAAATGGTTTTAAATCTGTTTGCAGGCTGAAGAGGGGCAGCTGCTCTAAGTCTACACAACAACATCATTAAATCACATCCAACTGGTTTTGCTGTATAAACGTACCTTTTCTGTCCACTGGAAGAGCTGGTCTTCTGCGATGTAGCAAGTCACCTGACATATCAAAACCTTCGGGGAAAGGCAGAGACATTTTGTGCAACATTAGTGGATTAAAGACATATTTAGATTTGTCTGAAACACACGAGACGAGACAGGGAAGACAGATAATACTGATGGATGACAAATTAAAGGAAAAACCATCACACAGAGCGGCACAACCATCAGTTTCCCACAAGCTTTAAATTTAATTTTCCAGTCTGTGTGGGAGTGTCCTTTAAACGGAAGTGTTGTGATGTATTTTGTTGAAAATTGAGCTTTATGCTGAGGATGGATGTCTCAGAGCTACGACTGGAGGAAAGTCACTCCGCTGTCAACTCGGGCAAACTTAATACTTGGAGGAAAAGATGCTGTGGAATAATGTTTAAAAATGTAAATAATGATCATTAAACACTCTCCTACATTTGTCCTACTGGGACGTATACCTTAATAGGACTAGGATGATTATTTTCCTCAGTTTTCCAGATTGTTTTATTGATGGAACATTAAAAATATCCATCACAGTATCCTAGAGACATATTTTGTCCAACCAACAGTCAAACATGCAATAAATATACAATTTGCTATCATGTAAGACAAAGAAAAGTGGTGAACATTACATTTGAGAACCTGGAAGCATTGAATGTTTGGCCTAACTGATTCATCTTCTTACAATCGTAACCATACACACTCTGAAATCAATGGTAAGAAACCTTTTAAAAGACTAAGTGTGATGTTGTAGCGCTGTTATGACTTTTACTTTGAAGGATGCTCGGTTAGCATTTCCACCAGCACGTTTTCAGTGTGTTTGAAGTATTTTGTGTTACATACCATACAAGGGAAATGCTGGAGGACCTCTTTGGAAGTATAACGGCCATTTTACTTTCTTTTTACACTACTGAAAGACACTTACAAAAAACAAACCTACTCTTAAATGAATCAGCATTAATAATTAAGAGTGTGATAAGAAGAACTTCTGTAAATCACAGTTTCTGTATAAAAGTCTTCTGCTTCCCTTTATCAAATCTCTGCAGCCCGGAGGAGGCAGGGTGATAAATCTGAAGCTTCCTCGTCAGCGCAGTGCTTTCACACGCGGTCATTCACTATGTTTATCTTGATTAAATCACGTGCAGACACCAGGTTGATAGAAAATAACCACACACACACACACACACACACCACATCGGCCTGTTATAACTCTGTATTCTGACAGGTTATGTAAAAGGCGGCGGATTACCAGAGCTCTTTAATCCTGTGTGTCATGGCCTACTTTCAAAGTTTTGAAGCTGAAGTGGGGTTTCGTGTTTTACTCTTGAAACGCTGCCGTTTCAGATCAATCCCGACGTGATGTGACCGCGCGGTTACAACGTGAGATACAGGAGGAACGAGACTGAAATAGTGTTGGATATGCGCTAATATAAAGAATTTAAAGAAACTATTATTCTTTCTCTCATTAAGCAGCTGTATTCCTCATATTTCTCCCGTTTTTTTCCGGTTTTTCCTCTAATTTGTCAACCGTTTGTGCCATTAGGTAACAGTAAACATCTCAAACAGCACCTGAGGAATGTGAAACAGAAGTTCAATCATTAAACTGAATCATAATTTAGTTGCAGACACGTTTTTGAAGTGTTGCTCTCAGCTGTTTTACTCACTGTCGGGTTTTCCTTCTGTCGGTAGAAAACACACGAGTCCTCGCCGGCGTGCCCAGTTACAGCCCGGCTCCGCTCGTTCCACACCGATGCGTGTCCCACTGCGTCCCAGTTTGCGGAGGTGAGAACGTACACTGACAGGAACCCTGTGAACACAACGTCACTGAGCGTTCACATTTCCTCACTGGGATCGTTTCTCCTTCAGCCGATCCGCAGTCACAGGTTTAACATACAGGGGGGGCTGCTGGCAGACACTTACTGGCAGCGTTGTGTCCCACGGCGAGGATCAAGTCTGAACACTGCAACTTGTTTCCGGACTTCAATGACTCAGAGACTTCAGGGCTCCACTGCAGATGAACCTCCCTGATGAAGAGTGATGTGTGTTAGAGGAGGAAGAGGAGGAACACTGTGCAGATAAAAGTCTAATTAATCAAATTAATCAAATTAATCAATCATATGGCCACAACAGGTGGCGTACGTCTGCTGTGTACTTATTATTACTTACTTATAGTTATTTAAACTTGTGTATTTTCATTTTATGCTACTTTGTACTTCTACTTCACTACATTTAGGATGGAAAGATTTGACTTTTTACTCTTTTACTGGGTTTGCAAATGTCCCCGTGTCCCAAACCTCCAGCAGGAGTTCCCAGGAGCCCCACGTTCACCGTGTAGTAATCGGTGCGTGGTAATCAGTTATAACTGCAACTAGTGATCATTTTCGTGCTCAATTAATCCTCCACTCATTTTTTCTCAGTTAATTGATTAGTTTAATTGATAAAAAGTCAGAAAATGATGAAAAATAACATCCTCAAATGTTTTGTTTTGTCCAAAATGATTCGGTTTACTGTCAAAGACAAAATATTCATATTTGAGAAGCTGAAAACGAGTAACGAATTATCAAATTAGTTGGCAATTAATTTAGTAGTTGACAACTAGTCGATTAATCGTTGCAGCTTTAATTGGACACATGCATCACTAGATATAAAGTAGTATATCTGTGAGGAAGAAACTCCTGTTTTAAGGTTAAAAAGGTGACACGGTTAATCTTTATATATCAGAGGTTCCCAAACTTCCATGTCAAGGAGCCCGAACGATAGATGCACATTAGACCACGAACCCTTTTGTGTATTTGTATTTTCAGTTTGAAGATATTAAAGTCTTCATAGTTATTCAATAAACCAACTGGGATCACAATAAATTATAATCAATAAAAACAGCCAACACTATTTATTCCCTTGTTGTTCCAACTTATAAAAGTTAAAGTATTCTACTCCTCCTCTTGGTCCCTGGACTCCAGTTTGAAAACCACTGCTCTATAAGACTGTTTACTGAGTAGTGCAAATGTTTGTCAGGCTCTGAGATCAATACTTTGGTGATTAGTTTGACATGCATTTAGTTTTTCAGAGAGGCGTTGATTCAACTGTCAGGCTGCACAATTAATTGCAATATTACGTCCAAGTGCAATATGCAAATCCCAGGAAAAACTGCGTTATAATGAAATACTGTAGCTGTGCACAAAAACCCTCACCAACAAATCTTATTCTCCAGACTTAAGAAAACGTTCCATCATCAAAAACTGAATAGTAAAAGATAAACATTGTGATTGTAAAAATGATCACTCCCACACTAATCGTGAATCATATCGCAATGTATGTCGAAATAATGTCAATGTGATGTTTGTTCCGTATCGTGGAGCTGGAGCGTGTGTGGTGCTGTTATTAACCTTTACAGTCGTCAGACTTTATTCAGTTTCATAGTTCTGTAATTAAAGGCCTGTTGAAGCAGATAAATGTTAAACAGAAGTCAGAATAAAACAGCCTCCAAAGAGTTAAAGAACTGTTTCAACTGTTGACAAATATTATCCAATAAAATGTTTTATAAGTTAATTACAACTACATTAGAGTTACATAAGTTAATGTTAATATGTGGTTATATTAGGGAGGAGGAGGAGGAGGAAGAGGAAGAGGTAGAGGAGGAGGAGGAGGAGGAGGAGGAGGAAGAAGAGGTAGAGGAAGAGGAGGAGG